TCCCCAATTTCCTTCTTCTCTCCCTCCCTCTCCAATTTCCTTCTTCTCCCCCTCCCTCTCCAATTTCCTTCTTCTCCCCCACCCTCCAATTTCCTTCTTCTCCCCCCTCCAACTTCCTTCTTCCCCCCCCTTCCAATTTCCTTCTTCTCCCCCCTCCAACTTCCTTCCTTCTTCTCCCCCCTCCAACTTCCTTCTTCTCCCCCTCCCTCTTCCTTCTTCTCTCCACCCCTCTCCAACTTCCTTCTTCCCACCCCTGTCAAATTTCCTTCCACATACTTTTTTTTTTATTATTTCACCCCCCCAGCCTACCTGTAGGAGTGCTGAGGGGATTCCCTGGGGTCCAGTGGTGTCACCTGGCGGCCATGGTGTCACCCAGGGGGCGGGCGGGCGCGCGCGAGGGAGCACTCTCCCTGGCTGAGTGCTTCCTCTTCAGCTCCCTCGCGCACCAACGTCATCTTCCGGCTCCGGCATCAGTGCGGTGCGCAAGGGAGCTGAAGAGATAGCACTTAGCCAGGGAGAGTGCTCCCTTGCGCGCGCGCCCGCCCGCCCCCTGGGTGACACCACGGCCAGCCTCTGGGGGGCCCTGAGGCGACCAGCTGCTGGGCCCCCCAGGAGAAGAGGCTGGCCACAGTGGGTACATACCGGGTTGCAGGGCCCCCGGCGACTTGGTATGTACCCCACTGAATGTGGGGCCCGGACGACCTGAGCAGTCCGGGCCACCCAGGACCGCCGGGCCCAGGACAACCGTTATGGTTGTCATGCCCTGATGGCGGCCCTGCCCAAATCATGTCTTTAAAGGGCAATACATCCCAGGGGCCATAGTCACATGGCAGGAGGCTGGCAATCAGTCTTCTCCAATGTCCAGTGGTGAGGTTGGTTTCGCTACATTTCTCTCCTTTCCCAAAAAGACTAACAAGGTATCTGACCTCCTGTCGGTCAGTGCCTTGGTTAGTCCAGCATCAACAGAGTGGCCCACCCACAAGAATTGGTTACTGCACCTGGGGTAGTGGGTAGCTTGTCCATGTCCAGGGGCTCCACCACGGCTCTGGGGGGTACTAGCCTTCCGGATCGGTGGATTGCTGAGTGGGCAGAGACCAGCGGTACTCTGCTCTGGTGCCAGCGCTACCACGGGAGTAGCCTGGTTGGAGCCCAGCTGAGGAGAAGGGTTAGTAGGCTCCTCCCTCTGGACCTGGTGTTGCTGCTGGAGGGGAAGACAGGCTGTCTCCCCTTTGGATATACAGCCCTGCTGCTAGGGGACAGGACCAACCGTCCCTACCCCCTGTGGTTTGGGCACAGAGACCACGGTCCCATCTGCACCTGTGTGGGGCTTATCATCTCCCCTTGGTGGGCTAGGCTGCCGCTGGGGAGGGGGAACGAGACTTTCCCCTCCCGGTAGAATACTCTGCCGTGGGAGCAGGGCCGACTGTCCGTACTCCCTGTAGCTTGGGCGCAGAGACCATGGTCCCATCTGTGCTGGAGGGGGGCTTAGTGTCTCCCCTTTCAGCCGCTGGGGAGAGGGGGTAACAGGCTCCTCTCCCTGACACTCTCTCTGCTGGTGGAGAGGGGGACCGACGGTCTTTGCTCCCTGCCGGACACACTGCTGCTGGGGAGGAAGGACGGCACCTTTGGCTCCCTGGGATTCACACTGCCGCTGGGGAGGAAGGACGACACCTACGGCTCCCTGGAACTCACACTGCCGCTGGAGAGGAAGGACGGCACCTTCGGCTCCCTGGAACTCACACTGCCGCTGGGGAGGAAGGACGACACCTTCGGCTCCCTGAAACTCACACTGCCACTTGGGAGGAAGGACAGCACCTTTGGCTCCCTGGGACTCACACTGTCGCTGGAGATCTGGGTTGGCTGCCCAGCATCCCTGTAGGGCCAGTAGAGAGACCTCTGTCCCATCTCTACCTGCCATCTGGAGGTCATCCCAGGACCAGTCTATGAGGACTGATTCTGCTTGTCGGGTAGGTTGGGGCTGCACGAAGCTGAGCAGGTGTTGGTAGTCCTTCTCCAGCTCCCACTCCCTTGTTACCAGGTGGGTCATGTCTTTGCTCACCTCGCGTTCATCAGCCCAGACATACATGCCCATCCGGTAGTCGTAGATGTCCCAAAACCTAGACCACTCCATGCTGCCAAGATCAATGTCGTCCTCCAAGGTATCCCATAATAAACCCGGGCCATCATAATCATCCCCCTCCAGTAAGCCGTGCTCGGCCCTCCAGGGGGTAATTCGAATGGTATGCCACTAGAGGGCCTGGTATGCGTTGTCTAGCCAGATCTCTCGCCATACAAGGGTCTCTAGTCTTGTCACCCACTCATGCTCTCCCAATAGATACATCCGCATCGCCACACGCTTCTGTAGCCGCTGCTCATCACTGGGGAGACTCTCACCTCGCCGCCACTGGGCATCTTCCAGGGCAACATACCAGAGTTCCTTTCTGTCTGCATCCCTGTAGTCCGCGGCCGCCTCCTCCTCCTCATCATGGAATGCTGTCCGAAAACTAGCCGATTCCATCCTGCTGTAACCAGGGGCGCTGTACGGATACTAGCGTTGCCCTCAATTTGTAACTCCAAACGTTACCAGTGTCTCCGAGCTGCTTCTCGCACTAGGGCGCCATCCCACCGCTTGCCACCAATGTAACGGATCACCTGGCACCCCGACTGGGTACCTCCATTGAAGGATGCTCCTAGCGCTTCCTGAGGACTCCAAGCACTGTAGATACGAATATCCATTTCACTATCTATCCTAGCTGTTCATATAAGGGTTAATGTGAACCAAGAATACATTTGGAATTGTATCTTCGATTCTCGGAAGAATTTATCTAATATCAGTTACGAGAATGACCATACTGATTTCGAAATGTTCTTGTTAATTGTCCAAGATTTTGGTATTTGAAAATATCTTGTTTTGATCAAATATACATGCGTTATATAACGTAGAATTATAATAAGAAACAGCTGTTTATAACTTGTGAAAAACAATGTCATTGTCACGCCCATATGCTCATTTTCCCCCCTCCCATCCTGCTATGAAAAGGGGGTATTAATATAACTGACGAATGAATACAATTTAAATTGGTTATTGAACACGTCTCTGCTATTCATTTCCAATTTCCGGAGCTCTGAATGAGTTGGCAAATATCCATCATCCACAAAGGGATTTTATCTCCAACAAACTGGTGTCAGAAGTTTGGGTGCAATTGGGAACGAGAATTACAGGTAAGAGGATCTTTAGCCCCTTGGGGACACAATGTTTCTGTCGTGTGTCCTTAAGGGGTTGGGGACCTTTACCTGCTTCTGCCATCCTCCCACATATTGCATTTCTTGTTTTAATGGAGTTTTTCACTATTTAAAATTTTAAAGGGGATTTTCACTGCATAATGTCTTTGATAGACATGGTAATTTCTTTAATTCTTAGCTAGACTTCTATTACTCCCTGGGTTGGAGGAAAGCCTTTGGCAGGCAGTATTGTGCACAATTGTGAATTCCTCTTTAGTAGAGGTTCACCTTTGGCAGGTGGTAAAAAGATTTTCAAGCATTTGGCAGGCTGTCATGTCATGTGATGTACATGTACATGTGGGTTTGTAGACTAAAATGGTTTAAAAAAAAAAAAGAAGAAAAAAAAGGGGGTTAAAAGGGAATATTGTCTAAACCCTGTATGATGGATGTTTGGTATTACTCCGGCTTGCTAATTTATGTGCTATTTTATGATGTGCAACGCTGATTTTAAGCATAAAGTCTTAATTGAGGGAATGTATAAAGTACATGTAAAGGTGATGATGAATAAGAAAAAAATATATAAAGGTTATATAAGGGGGGCTACAAATTCTAGAACTAACATGATTTCTCTGCATGTATGTTTGTTTGCATAATGAGCCCTTTATTTTTATACTTGGACAAAAGTACTATAAGCCCACTACACTTTTTCATGAGAGTGGGATGTATGATTGTTTATATGATGAGCCCTTTATTTTCATATTGGGACAAAAAGTCACTTCA